ACGAAGTTTAATAAATATCTGTATTTTCGTATCATTCCGAAAATCAATTTATGAACTAAAAAACATGATAATTGATTTTTTTTTATCTTCTTCGGTAATAATTATTGGATTTCATAGGTAGTACGCAAAAGATTGTTTGATGTTTTGAATTTCACCCAAAGCTTCTCGAGGGCTATGTGTTCTAGTCGTCCTTAATTTGGCAATGATACAATAGGGGAAAAGCAGCTAGTCAAAACCACTCACAGCTAACTCTTGGGCTACAAATAGTTGGATTGACCGTCACATTATAAAGCTCCTACGGTTGAAAGGGCGAGCATTTTTGGTGTCGGGGATTCGAATCCGCGACCCACAGGTTGCGGCCCCCCAGTGGCCCAGCGGTATATCTGCGGACTTACAACGCTAGAAACCGGGTTTCGATACCCGTGATGGGCAGAGCACAGATAGCTTATTGTGCAGCTTTGTGCTTAACCACAAACAGGTTCCGATTTGAGCGCCCCCTAACCACCAGGCCATACCAGGTCCTAGTACGTAAAGGAATAGAAGTGCTTTTTTTATTAAATAACCCACGAAAGGGAGATGCTAGACGATGATACTTGGTAACTAGCGAATCCGCGACCCGCAGGTTGCGATTCGAGCGCCACCTAACCACCAGATTATATCAGGTCCCAGTACATAAAGGAGTAGAAGCGTTTTGTTTGTTTGTTTTTTTATCAAATAACACACGAAAGGGAACTGCGATTCGAGCGCCCCCCTTGGTAAGTAGGATTTGTACAGTAGCAAAAGATACGAGTTACAAAAACCTAAATTAGTTAAGAAAAGAAAGCTATTTAACAAAGCAGTTATTTGTAGATCTCCTGTAAATATTCAGTAGCATAAAATAAAATAAAAAGCAGAGAATTAGATTTGAAATAGAAAATTGGTTGAAGTTCCACGAATAAAGACGAAAGAATTAATCCAGTCTTTCGGAAATCTGGTACGTATTAAAGACACACTTCAACTTTGATCGATCCCCGTGAGAAACTTTTGTTCTCGTTCTGCTTACATAGCTTTCACAATGACAGTGATTAACGCGATAACGCCTGTCCTTTCCTCCGAGACTTTTGTCCATATTTTAGTCGAGTGATAACATCACGAGACCAAGTATTCCTCACAGAATTGTTTCTTTAGTTTGAATTCATATTCAGCGCAAAGCCAGAGAGCTTGTTACACTTTGATCTCGGGGTTCTTGTGCAGCACTCGCCGTCTAGCCTTGTCGAAGACTAAACCAGATAATGTCGTTATACTGGCAGAGACAGAAACATACTTTAAATGTAGATCTTGCTCTCGTGGTTGCTAACCCTTTTCGTTTCCTGAACTTTGTGTTTGTACTTATCTTAATCAGTTATTATTAAATAAATACGTGTTTGAATCTTATTTTATGTACCGCAGAGGAAAAAAAGGTATAATAGTTTCAATACAAAGATGAATCCGACCAAAAACATAGAGCATACGATGAAATGTATTCCATTTGTTTCATGTGTTGGTTAATTACTTTTACCACGATTCTTGATGAATGGGGTCTAGAAATTGGGACGAAGGTTTCCTGTCTGTATGTTTTAGAATTTGCAAGCAGAGCTTCACAAGAATAGGTGTGTATAGACACCCCCTTGAGGGAAGACAGTCGGTGAACAGCACCCGATCGCCAAATCTTGGGTTACTCTTGTCTGAGCGAACTGTGGATTTAGCCGTCAGTGTTATATCACATTCACTGCTCCAAATTACCACCACCCTGGGACTCGCAGTTTGGCACGCTAACCT